AAAATGCACCCCAAAACTGTACCAAGCCAAGGAGGGGGTTTCATTTTCCTTGAGCAAGCACACAGCAGTGACAGGAGACAGGCTCTGTGATTCAGGACCTAGCCCAGAGCCTCCGGAGTGCGTGGTCACCTTCAGACACCGAACATGGTTTCTGTATGACTTCACTGACATCAGTAGTTTGGTTTACCTGTTCACAGAAGCAAGGACAAAGAAAACCTATGCTCACTCGTCTTTCAGTGTGAGTTAAAATACTCCATAAAAATTGTTAGTGAAAGTTTTTCGAGATCTAGTTCAGCTTGAAAAGATACAGCTTTGTACAAAATACCATATGTTGCCTGATGAAGCTTTCCTTTCAGATTGCAGTTTATGAATTCACATAAGCCTGTGAAAAGGAGCAAAAACAAATGCCCGGATTCAGTGAGTCAGAGAAGATGTTTTTTTAACTGGATCCTCTCATTGCCCTTTCTTTTCATGCCAGGTGCAGTGACAGCAAAGTAAATTCAATTCACAGCCTACTGTCATTCTCCGGATCTTTGGATCAGTTCTTACTCCCTCCCGGCCTCATTCACCGCTTCTGAGGATGAAGTCCTAAACACCTGCCATGGTCGAAACTGTTCTTACATCATCTTCTGAACACTGTGACTTCAAGCACATGAAATCATGAAGTTAATGCCACAGTCAAGACTTTAACCAAAGCTCTTTCTGCAGACCCGAGCTGATTTTTTTTTAAATGCCATAGAATTTGCTAGTTCTTAACCAATAGAGAATTTACAAAAGGTAGTCAGTGTTCTGCTTCTCATGCAATACAAGATGGGAAAGTCTTCTAGCAGAGTAGCAGTCTGGATGGGGGTGGCAGTACCACAGTATGAATTCCTCCCTTAATCTCAGATTAGTTTTTATTTTTGTCTTGTTGTATAAAATGGGGATGAATATCCTTGTTCTGTTTTATCTACTTGGAATCAGAAGGTTCTGGAGGCGCATCTTTTACCATGCACAGTATTCATCTGGTAGCGTTAGCTGTATTGACACCTTTTTGTGTAAAGATTAAGAGTAGTTGAAAATCAAACCCAAATGGGGCAATCCACACAGTAGTTGAAAATCAACCCAAATGAAGATCATCTAAGTGTGGATTTACAGCCAAAGTAATACCTGTTCCTCTGCTTTCAGTAGAGATGTATAACACGGTGGTGGTGGTAGGATGGCTAATGAACACTGCACAGAAATGGAACTTACCCAGGGAAAAAGCAAAGTTTCAGGAGTTTAATACACTTTACTTGAGGACTGAGTAAATTCTGCCTTGCTGTACTGAAAGAACATCTTAAACAAAATTGTCAGATTTGGCATGATGTGACAGAAATAGAGGACTTCAAATGCACACCAGTTCTGAAGAAGCTGAGAGGCAAGAGAGAGGATATGTAGGTTAACACACACCCATCAGCCTGACCCTTAACAGTATGTAACATTTTAGAATAAATTTTGACTGCAAGCATAATTAAAAACATGGGAAAATATGGCAAGGGTTTACCAAAAGTGGATTATACCTACCTCTAGTAAGAGGCTGAATCTTCTAGGTGAAAAAAATACTACTAGTTTGGGACTTTGGGACAGCCTCCAGTACTGTGTCTCAAAGAAAATTGGTAGTTCTGCTGGAAAAGGGATTCTCATGAGACAACAAGGTGATTACAGGGCTGGCTAATTGGGAGAAGATCATGCTGCAAGGGGGACTATCAGGCTGAAAGATACTTTGTAGTGGAGGTTCTTACGGACAGTACTCATCTTAATTTCTCTTAGTGCCGTTTGGAAAAGACAGAGGCGTGCTAATGACATTGCTAACAATTAAGGGGTATCATCAGAGGAAGATGGGAAGAAGCAGATGGGATGATAGGAATAGAATAAAATGTAGTGGTACACAGTGCAGGGTCATGTACTTACAAAACCTTTTACTACAATGGGGACTTCCATTCTAGATTCCTTTGCAACTGGGGAGGACAAAGAGAGGAACCCCATCTTAATAGTCAGCAGTTATGAGCAACCAATTTGATATGACCTTCATAACATGACCCCGGCATATACCAGACATTTTACAGTACAGAGAGTATATATTCCACTGCACAAGATATCTGGAGTAAATTATACTGTTCTGGTCACCCATCTTCAGGAAAGAAAAGCTGGAAAAGAAAAACCAGAATGATAAAAAGAATTGCGAGCCTGTCTTTAATGACAGGAGATTTTGAGCTTGGCATGTATGACTTAGCAAAATAAATGTCGAAAGGAGATGACAGTGAGCCCTATAAATATATCAGGAATGCAAACATCAGAGGGGAACAGTTATTTTAAGCTGAAAAATGATTTGGCAAAAGAACAAGTAGGTATAACTTGGCAATAAATAATTTTAGCCTATAAACTAGTAATCCTCAGAGAGAGGCTTTGGACTGATCTTTCAGAAGAAGGGGGAAGAGACTGACAGGTATCTAAATGACTTTGATGTCTGCAGTAGCAGAAAACTAGTTCCTCTGGCCAGAAAGCCGCTTCTGGTCCTGTGTTTCTAGTACAATTGAATACCTAAATGTTAATAATGCAAGTGGCAACAACAATTAGCTATTAATCGATAATGTTAATTATTGACTGGGATGACTGGATTTTGCTTGTGACTGGATAAAAGCAGGAGGACAGACAAATTTCTTCTTTGTGAGATAAGAACCCAAAGTAAAAGTGTGTCTATCTAGGATTGTTTTTCAGATAAAGTTTCACCTGAGTCCTGTTCATTTGGGTAGCACCAATATAATTAACCCAGACTAACCCTTTCTGTGGAGGTCCTGTGATGGTGAGATCAGAATTGCGTCCAACATCTCTGAATAGGTCCAGGGTATACTAATTGTAAATATTAAGGTTTAAAAATTTTAAACATTTATTGGCAAAAATGAAACATAACTTTTCTCTGCTATAAAGCTTCACGAATGTACAATGTGATTCCTGGATAGAGATCACATCAGCTCCGCAGTTATTAATTTACAGGTTTCTCACTGACCTTAGCTCAGCTCTGGGAATGATGCCAGCACAATTACAGTAACTCTGAACAGGGCAGACGTAAAGCTCCTGTATCTACCCTGAAATTGTGCCAGATTTTTCTCTTGCTCAGTGACGGAAAGATGCATTTCTTCTTTGATTAGTTTCAAATTGTTCTTGCTGGATTGGAATTAAGAAGATTATTTCCAGCAAAAGAAGGAAAAGAGGTAAACTGCCATGCAGATATGTGCATACACAATGTACTTACTCCATCGATAATCTTCAGGTAGTGTGTCCCAAGAAGAGGTGTGGGGAAAACTGAATCAAGGTGCCTTGAGCTAGTTACCTGGAGGATAAATGCAGAATTGGGAATAAAATGCAAGGGGCAGATGCTTGGTTCAGTGGATTTTTTCACTGAATCATGCTAACCATCCTGGAGCACATCAAGGCCCATTGCCTTCCTTCCTGTGAAGGTGGGCAGCTGGACTGCAATGACATCAGGTGGAGCTGAATGCGCTCATCACCTTGGAAAATCAGGCCCCTGGTGATTTTCTCTGACGTTAATTGACCATCAGACCTTGCAAGAGGGGATTCAACACATTTCCTGACCTATGGTCTAAGATAGCATTTTCCAAACCCTAGAGTAAATTGAATGTTGTTGCAGAGGAAATGCTGATGCAATCCACCAGCAGCTGCTGCTCTCCAACATCCTCATAAAGGTACAGTGTATGTGGGAGGTGTGAAGGGGGTGAGTACGTGCAAGTAGGGTATTCAAAAACCTCAGCCTCTTCTAAATGGCAGGCAGGACTCTGTGTCTTTCCTCCAGACCTCCTACTTGCCTGCCCCCAAGAGAAACACTACTAAAGGCTGCTCCCAAGAAAACACTGGGTACTGTTCTGAAAGTAAACCCCTGAAAGTAAGCAGGCTTTTCATGTGGGGCCAGTGAGGGTGGGACAGCATTTTCCTGGGTGCCTAATTTATGAATCCTATATCTAAAGTGTGGAAATGTGCATTCCTCTTTAGTGTGAGTGAGAATAGTAAGAGCAATGTTCTGAATAAATATATTGTGACAAGCCTAAAAGATCAGGCAATGCATGTGTTCCAACGGGCAAATTTAATTTATGGACAGATAAGTCGGGATGATTGAATTAACCTGGTTTAACAAATTACTGCCTCTCAGTGGAGCTGTGAAAACTGACTGCATTGTGCTTTAGTCCCTTGCTTTTTAAAATAAATCATGGTAAGGGAAAGCAAACATGTTTGGTTTAGGGAGCGGAAGGGCTATTAAGGTGGTCAGTTAAGATGGCCCTGCAGATGCACGGTAACTCTTTACCCCACAGGAGCTTAATCCCGTACGCCAGCCTGCCTGTGGCCTGGGTGTGCACTTGCACCCCCGGCACTGTGATTTTCTGATGTCCTGGAAAACCCCCGCCCAAAAATCAGTAAGCATTCTTTACTTGTATTGGGGCTGAATAGTGAAGCAGGAATATGAGGATGCCGTGGCGCTCTCCAACCAGGAGACGGTGAATGGCGGGAGAATAGCACATTGCTGCTCAGGGAGCTGCCCCAGCATTGCACTCTTGCACCAACAGAGATGTTTGCCCGTGTCACCAAGAAAAGCTGACAGCCTGCAAAGAAGGGTTCAGCTGCTGTTGGGCACAGAGATGCCCCGAACCCCCTCCTACTGTCGCCCCGACCCCTTCAGCCGTGTGCCACCCAAACCCCACCTGGGGCCCGTTCCTGTCCTTAACGCCGTGCCCACTCTTGCTCTCCCCACTTTGTTCCTTCTGTCCCGCTCTTCCCCCTGCCAGCGTCCTCCTCTGTTCTCTCCAGCCAGGAAGAATCCCCAAACTCTGTTCTTCCTCCTCCTCCTCGCCCAGGCGGCGGGAGGCCACGCCCCCCCGCGGCTGACAGGCAGGCCCTGTGGCGCTGGGCGGGGCTTGGCGATCGGGGGCGGAGCCTCGTGGACGGGGGCGGGGCACCGGGCGCAAGGGGGCGGGGCCGAGGGCGGGCGTGCGGCCGTTGCCAGGTGACGGGCCGTGTCCGCGGGGCCCAGCGCGCCCGGCCCGGCCCGGCCCGCAGGTAGGTGGGTGGGTAGGAAGGAAGGAGTAAATAACGCTGATGAATAAATAGCCCCAGGCACTTGGAAGTTGTAGAAGTATCCTTGGGTGTTTCACGCTGGGGGACGCGGCCGCGTTGCGGGGTGTCTCGAGTGGCCGAGGAGGCTCGGCCGCGCCGGCCCTGCGGGCTGCAAGCTTTGCTCAGCTTCTGGCAGAGGGGGCCCGGGTACGGCCGCTGCCCTGCTCACAGCCCCTCTGTGCAACGGGGAGTGCTTTGGGCATGAGCCCGCTGTCAGCAAGAGGCCGGCGCTCCTCGCCCCTGGGTTTTAGCAGGCAGAAATGAGTTACCAGAGAGCCCGGCTCCTCTGGCCTGGCCGCGGGGCCTGGGCTGTGGCTCTGCACCCCTTTTCTGTGGCCATTGGCCCCTCATATAAATATTCCTGCTCACCTGTTTCTATTCTGACTGCATTTACAAGTCCAAGTTTTCTGATGAGTGTTGTGGTGAAAATACGTTAAATGTTGCCTTCAGCCTTTTACCCTGTGCTAGCCTGATGGCAATGTTTTCTCTAACACAAACTCCTACAGCCTAGGAAATATCTGTTCTTTACGTAAATAGTTGTTCAGTAAATAACTTTTCCTGCAAATATGTAGATGCTTCGGTATCAAATCCTTCACCTTCCCATGATCTCCTTGGGAAACTGTTTTCAGTTACACTTACATTAAGCTGTTCTAGGCTGTACTGATTCATCTCCTGTTACACTTTTAAGACCCATTGAGCATGGACTGCTGCTACAGCGGATAAAGTACTCTTTCATTATTAATTGCAGAATGCACAGTGTCTCTGCATTTTTTTTTTTTGTTTGGTCTGCTTTTTTTTTCCTCTTGAAGATTGTGTTCTTACTGTTCTTTTAGCAGGATATGGAGTAATCAAGTCAGAAATTGCCCTATGAGCATCTGCGTCATTCAAGATAAATGGAGATGAATGGCTGTGACTAGTAAATGAAAATCTCTGTAGGAGAGAGATGGGAAACGAAAGACACAGAACAGCAGTGGCATTGAAAGAAAAGGTAAAATAATTTAAAATGTCCAAATGACTGAAAGTGTTTCAGAACTTTTTTTAAATTACCCTCCCATTTCATTTTATCTCTCTGCTTTGTGTTATTTTGTCTGATGTGAATTTACCTAAAAGAACTTGGATTTAAAATGCAATGTTCAGGCATGTCAGATCTCAGAGCTGCTGTCATTAACAGGTTTTGTTGGGGGTGTGGGGTTTTTTTTCCTGGCCTTTGTGTTCTCTCCCTTGACTTTAACACTGAAAATTACTACGCTCCTATAGGTCTGATGTCTCAGGAGGTTGATACGTGGATATATCCTCCTATGGGCAGTTCAATTTGTTAGTTTAATCATACGCTGCTGTCAGTGGAAGAGAGAATAGGCTCTGCCCATGGCCTGGGATGCCATCAGCCTGTTCTTACACAGCTCAAGGGACCTGATCCTGTATAAAAGCAGGATTCAGATTCAGTGTGAGACCAGATGTGAGTTTAGCATTCGACTGGAGTGATATTATTATTTTTTATGGTGATGATGCATGTGCTTATTGAAGTGAAGCTCCTTAGGGGACATAGTTAAAGAAACCACATTTACTCTTTAAGTTTGAAGTAGTATAAATTTTAGTTGTGCAAAATAATAACATTATATAATATACCATAAATTTGGAATTGCTACGTTTGTCACTAATGGGAATGGCTTAATAATTATTTGGGAGGAATTGTGAAGAGGTTAATTTTTTAAATTAGAAAATTCAAGAGCTTTTCACAGAAATTAGTTTAGTTACATCTGCATAACTTTAATTTGCTAGTAAAATGGTTAGTGTTTTTATACCTTCTGTAGATTTATGTGTTGGTTTGAAAAACAATTTGGAGCAACACCTATTTTATATCAGTAGGGCCATAAGTACTTGCTAAAATACAAATCAGAAAACCAGATTTGCCACAGCAGATGTAATAAAGGCTAATATATCTGTAGTAAAGCAAAAAGGTTGTGGACCCTGTCCACTTCAAAGAAACATTATCTGATATTTAAAAAAAAAAGTAAAATTCAGAAAGTACTTGTTCCTTTGATTGTACTGTCTTGCATCAGGAAGCAGTATTTGAAGTATAGCATAACACTGGCTGTTTATCTTACATTTTTTACATCTTGAGTTTTAATTTAATTTTTTTGGAGTGGAGTTCTAATATTACTTTGGTTTCTCTTTTTTAAAAAGCTTTACTAGCAGAAGTAGTGCTTGAGTATGTTTTTGTTTTATTTTAATAGAATATCCACCCAAGTTCAAAGTGATGAACATGGGAGAAAGAAGCATATATAGAATGAAGAGCTTGAAGTAAATTATTGTTACTTGGGAAAGAGCATTAAGCTACTGTGGTAGTTCTCTGAAGATACCATCTTGCAGCTAGTCAAAAAGACAAACAGTGCTAAAACTTCTAAGAAGAGGAATTGAAAACAAATTCATGTACTGTCTCTGTGGCCATATCTTGAATCTTATGTGCAGTTCTGATCATCCTGAAGGGTAAATGGCAGAACTGAAATTGTTTCCATGAAATACAACAGAGATGATAAATGGAAAACAGACAAAATAAATGAGACTCTTCAGCTAGAAGAGGAGATGAAAAAGGAGATGATGCAAAAGAAAGCTATAAGTTAATGAATGGTATAGACAGATGGATGAATCCTCCATAATTCTGTCTAACTGCTTTTGACCTCATAATTCTAGCCTCTACAACAACCTATGTCAGCGTCTTCCACAATTTAAACAAATACAATGCGAAAATGCACTTTCTCCTGTTTAAAAACTGCTTCCTGATAAAATTCCTGTGGTTTCTTTAGTTGTTGGATGACTATTTGTCATGTCTTGAGACATGACAAGTAATTGCTTCCCTACATATCTCCCCAGCTGTTGAACACAACACACCTTTTGGCTTGGGAAGCTACAGAGCAGCTGATTGCCAGAAATTAAAACAGTATGTCAGGGGAAGGATTGCTTTGGACTACCTCTGCTTCTGATACTGTTTTGTAAGCATCTGTTTCTGACTACAGTAGGAAGCTGGACATCTGCCTTGACCCAGCAGGACAGTTATAATGCAACCTCATTAGTAGCTTAAATTGATTTTGCAAAGGCCTTTTCACTGTTAGTTTTTCACCCTTGCTAGAATTTGGGAGTGTTTGTTACTAAATAAGCTCCTGTGCCATCTTTCACTGCTTAGTATTTTCTTATGAGTTCAGCTAGAATTCATCTCTTTTTACAGAATGTATCCCATGTGAGCAACACATTGGAAGTCAGAAACATCCCAGCATTGAAAATGACTCTTCAAATGTCTTTTCAGGCCATGGAATCTCTTGCTTCTATCAGTTTAATTACCTAATAAAACGGACTGAAAATTGTTTGGGGACAACAGAGCACTTTGAAACTCAGAAATGTCATATATGATGCATTTTCATCCTGCACAGAAGTTTGGATTTCAAAGGGCTCATAAGTGCAGTGCAACAGTAGCTGGAAAAAAAAGTTTGGTTTTATTGTGCTTTCCTTAGCTGGGATCTGGAAATACTTCTAATGGTAGATACTAAAAATGTTTTGAAGACCAAAACCAGAGTTTTTTTCCTCTGCAGCTTTGGACTGTCGCTTAGTCCTGAGTCCATGGGTTAGAATAGCCTGTGAATGAGCAGCACTGCTGTGAGACTGCACTCACCTGTGCAGGGAGACACTGCATCGTTTTGTGTCTCAGAAAACTGAGCCGTAGTGCAGTATTATTAGGTTAATGAGTGGAGAGAGCCTGCAAGGCCTTTGGGCGTGTGGGAGAAATTGGGGAAGGTGCTGGAGAGAGACCAGTATATTGGGTGGGTTACTCAGCTTCTTCATAACAAGGTGGGAGTGTTAACTGATGTGAAAGCCTCTTGCCTTACACCCCAGATAAAGACAGCAAGGCTAGGTTAAAAGCAGTAGTTGTGCAGTGTGAGAAGGTTTTACATGTGACAGGAAAAGATAATGTGTGCAACCTGAAAGCAAAACTAAGTTTGCAGTGAGAGAGGGAACTTTTTTTGTAAAGTCCTGTTGCGGTTTGAGCTCAGAGGGCAACTGAGCTCCACACAGCTGCTCACTGCCCTATCCCCCCCAGCGCTATGAAGGAAAAATAAGCAAAGGCTTGGGATTCGAGGTAGGACAGGGAGGGATAAATCACCCATTATGGTCATGGGCAAAACCAGACTTGTTAGGGGAAGAAAAAAAAAGAACGTAAATTCATTACAGACACTAACAACACTTAACAGAGTGTAGGACAGTGAGAAGCATTGCCACATCTTGAGAACACCTTCCCCCCACCCCTCCCTTCTTCCCGGGCTCAGCTCTGCTCCCGATATCTCTACCTCCTCCCCCAGCGGCGCAGGGGCAGGGAATGGGGGGTGCAGGCAGTGCTGCCGCTTCTGCCATCTTTGGGAGAGGGAAATTCTGGAACTTCTTACCTCTGCTCCAGTGTGGTGCCCCTCTCACAGCAGACAGTCCTCCACAGACTTTCTCTGATGCGAGTCCCTCCCACGGGCTGCAGCCCTTCCCAAGCTGCTTTGGCGTGGGACACCCCCGCACGCTGCAGTCCTCCCAGTGCTGAACTACAACAGCGGGGGCTGCTGCTTCCCACAGGGTCCCAGCCTCCTTTGGACACAGTGACCTGAGATGGCTTGAGGCCCCCCACAGACCGCATGTTGGCATCTGTTCCACCGTAGATCTCCATGGGTGGCAGGGGGGCGCTGCCCTGCCATCTCACCACAGCGTACAGGGGGGTCTCTGCTCCAGCACACCTCCCCTTCCCCTTTCCTCCTCCATTCTTCTACTGACCTCAGTGTTCACACAGATGCCACACAACTCTTCCTCACAAGTCCCACTCCTTCTCCCACATCCCTTCATAGACACGTTATCACAGAGGTGCAGCAGATTGGCTCGGCCTTGGTGCAGAGTTGGGGCTGGCTTGGAGCTGGGGGAGCTTTGAGAAGCTTCTCACAGGGGCCACTGCTGCAGCCCCCTCCTCTGCTACCAAAAACCCCACCACTCACTCAAAGCCAGAACACGTCCCACCTTTGCAACAATTGACACCACCTTTTATATAATATTTTTTTTAAGTGGGTGAAATTTTGAGTCTTCATGGGACATATTAACTTATTCTTTGGTTCTCATCACTTACAGAAGATTAATCTCAAACTTTTTGTGCAGCATGGCCATCCGTGGAATGTAGTGTATTCTATGCAAATCATCTGACAAGTTAGTTTATTCACTTACAAAAGCTTTATTCAGTAAGAAGGTACCTTTACATTGATAACAGAATATGTCCAAAGGCCTCACCCACCAGCACTAACTCATGGAGATTATTGGTTAGGTGATGAATTAGCTCTGAGCCACTTGAATCTTGATTTTTTTTTTTTTTTTTAATTCCTCCCCTAAAATATGATTTCATCATGCTGCTTCTTACTTTTTAAATAAATATATTGCAGGCTATGTGCTAAGACAGTATTGTTTATTTTTCCAGATGTTATATACATCATAAGTGCAGAGCTCCCTGAAGGTAACTTTTCTTTTAACACGCTCAGACTTGCACACAGACTGGTTGTAGGGTGTGAAGTGCCAGCCTTGGGCACTTGGGCTGTCGGGCTGCCTTTCTTCAGCCCAGCTCCAGCATCTCAGAAATAATATGCTGGGATTCATATTTTCAAGTCTTCTCAGTCAAATCAGAAGCTAAAAAGAAACAACTTGGGCAACTTTTACTTCAGTGTGAGCCTCGACCTATGGGACTTGATGTAACGTGGCTGATGAAGAGCAAAGAGATGCTCAACCACTTCCTGCCGAGGTGTTGCAAGGAAAGAATACATATTTGGGGGAGGCTGGTGGGAATGCTTTTGATAATACTGTAAATGATGCTGATGGATGCTTTTATCTTGGGTTAGCCAGGTGATGAACTTTGTACTTGGGTCATCCCCCCTACTCTGTGCGAAGTTGCTCACATGAATGAGTCATCTCAGGATTGGGACC